CCCCCCCCCCCCCCGGGTTCAATAGCAAGCAGCCAAATTCGTGTGTGTAACTAATACTACTTTGCATCACAAACATTCACTGAAGTAGCTAACTCTGACATGTATCTGAGGTTGAGTTTTTCTGGAAATTCTTCTTTATACATTGTAGCTGAAACAAAGACAAACATGGATTTGTCTAATTTTATTTTATATCTTTGCAGTTTCCAAAGTTAAAAATTCTTGACATTGGATGCAACAGGTTGAAGCAAGTATTGCCTCATGATTTAGAAAAGAATTCTGTAAGTTTTAAAGCCTTTTTTTGCTGTCTGACTTGCATGAAATGAGGGATGGATTGCACTGCATTCTTGACACTTGATCAACTTCTGATGACTTCTTCTTAAGTCACAGTTCTCACAAGTACTGGATAAAATTTTTCGTCATTGTCATTAGAAGGTTCTCAACAGTTTGAATACAACTTATAAATTGTTCATTCATGGTTGCATTTCAGTATGACATTTGTACTGTGCTGTAAGGAAGATGTATACCTCTATCCACATTTCTCATGCTTAAACGTAGCTTTGTGAACTTCATTTCATTGTTAATACCAAGGCTATGTTTTTGACACAGGATCTTCGAGAGCTGAAGCTTTATGCAAATAATATCACAGAAATCACAGGGTTAGATAGGTAAGATGTAGCTACATGTATGTACTATAAAATAATGATCTAATCGATTCCCATTCTCGAGTAAACACCTCTAAAAGCCTCCCTTACACATTTAAGTTTGTTTTTGACACCCCTCTTCAATAAATGCCTCCCTGGACAATAATATTATTACTTGAAAAAGCAGCTAAATCATCTATTTTATTCAGTTTCTACTCCGATTGACAGGGGTCGCATATGTAGTGTCTTGTTCAATGTCAAGTTGAAAGAAAAGTTAGGGTAAGGATGACAACAAAGTGACCCTGAATAAGGATTCTGACACCAAGGTTGAGATTTAAAGAGTGATATGGATCTCTAGCTGGCCTAGACATGTCAATGGATGGACTGGGTATTTTGCTATTTATAAACTCTATGGATATTTTCTCCTAAAGCATTGACATTTTTCTTCCCTTTCTATAGCTGCAAGGAGCTAAATAACCTTCTGCTGCAGCACAACAAGATAAAGTGCATTGGTAAGCATCTTCGATTTTTATCAATTAATATATTAATATATTCTTATTATTTTGTTTTATAGAATGGCTTTGTTGATTGCCCATTTTTCTGTTTTTGTCAGGGAAAGGACTACAGCATCTAAGAAAGCTAAAAGTGTTGCGGCTTGACAGCAACCGTCTTTCCAAGATAGATCACAGAGAAATCGGTTGCTGTTCTCAGCTAACTGTGCTTGACATTAGCTGTAATAACATCACAGATGTCTCTGTAAGTTCATAAATTTGAAATAAGGATAGCCACCAAATGTCCCTTCAAAATCTGACGTGTTTACTTAAAGGGACTATGTCATGATATTTGCAATTTTTTTAAAAATAGCTAAAACGCTTTTGGCATTAATAGAATTGCAAAAATAATGATCCAGTTTTGTTATTCAAGACTTTAGTTAGGTATTGAAACTGCTTTCTATCTTCTGTTGCAATGGATGGCAAGGATGGACATGGATTGAAACTTGAATAATTATGTTGGGTCACCGTTTTCAAGTTTTAATGCTATGCAAGGAAAAACCACAAAAAAATACTATTATGGTTAGTGCTACCTGTTGACGTTTGTTTGATGTCTTCTTTAAACTCTTCAGGAGCAATTTGTGCCTGGGTAAAGGCACTGAGTGAGTACTTAAGTACAGTACAGTACGTAAGTACTTGGCACAGACATGACCTAATACAGCAATAGCATAGTTATCCTTTTGACAGAGCTCCTCTAAGAAACAGATAATGTAAAGTGTTTTCTGTTTGTAGGCCCTGAATTCACTTCCTGCACTTGAGGAGCTTGATTTGTCAAATAACAAAATCATCAAAATTCCTGACATTGGAAGATGCAAAAAGGTATTGGGCAAGCAGCATCATTTTTCAACTCCAAGAAGATGATTTAGTCTTTAGAAACAGTTTTGACGTCAGTGCAAACAATTCATTTAAAAAATACTTTTTATGTACTTTTTATCAAAGACTTAGGTTTCTTAATATTGAGTTTGAAGAGGGGGATAGGCTAGGTCTTTTCTGAGTTGTTCCTTGCCTCTGTTTCAAAGCGAGGCTAAGCACAAAGTTATTAAGTGATTTTCATGCAAATAAATCTCATTTTTTACAAGAAAGGTTTTGCTTTTTGCCTCGTTTTAAAAGTGAGAGTTTTTGAACTCAAAATGGCTTATTGGTATTGTGATTGGTAATGATTTTTAAATGATAGGTTAGTTCATTGCTTATTCATGATAGTCATGGATCATTCCATATCAACTGGTTTATATAACTGGCACCAGTTGTTAAAAACACTGGATAGCACTGTGAAAGGTTTGAACCCAGGAGTCATTTCAAAAGGTTGAGTTTGATCGTCCGGGTGAACGTAGTCCTGAATAGGACTGTTGTTGTTGACAGTGACTGACGTTTCAACAACCTGTGCTCAGCAATGTGATTGTTGACGTCATTTAAAGACGAAACATCAATTTGACTGGGACTTTGCGACATGTATAATGTACTCTACAGACTACTATCAATGTCTTACTTTAGAAAGCTGGTTTACTAACTTAGAACAAACACAACTGAATCGTAGCCAACAGTTACCAGCGCCGTACAAACGACTTATTGACGAGATCAAGCAAAACTAACTACAAGAGAACAACTGTTGAACTGACAATTTGACTAACATTAGACGACTGTTTAACTGTGACAATAGACGGATCGAAACGCACCAATCACTGATTACGAGTCTTCATAGCCAATAACATCACAGCTTAACTGACAGACGACCAATAACATCGCGACATAATTGACCAATCAGATCAATAACCAGAGTATAATACCATCAACTGACGTGATACAACTCACTTTGACTCTGAAGATGACTACCGCACAGGTTGTCGAAACGTCAGTCACTGTCAACAACAACAGTCCTATTCAGGGCTACGTTCACCCGGACGATCAAACTCAACCTTTTGACTGGATAGCACTATCAAGCGGATTAGCTAAACCAATTGCGCTATCCACTTGATAGAGATTATCCACCCTTAGAACAACCGAGGTTTCATTGGTTTTTATCAGGTGATGATGATGTTGTTTGCCTTTGAATTAATTATTAGAATTGATTTCACACTTTAGTCCATTTCTTGCAGATTCAAGAATTGGACATATCAAGAAATCACATTTCAGACTTGGCTGGCTTACGAGGTCTCTTTAATCTCACTGTAAGTATTCCATGTATTCAGCAGCTTACTTACATTGTATGACAAACTGAGTGATTTAGGAGCTGCATTCATAAAATCCTGCTAATGAGCCCTAATAATAATAATAATAATAATAATAATAATAATAATAATAATAATAATAATAATAATAATAATAATAACTGCTCAGAACTGAGAGTAGAGTAGAGTATGGAACAAGGAATGTGGTGATTGGTGCCCTTGGCTTCATTCCTGACAATTTGCATCATCACCTTGAAAGTTGAGGGATTAAAGTGCATGTCTCGACGTTGCAGAAATCAGCGCTGCTTGGTACAGCAAATATCCTGTGAAAGGTGCTTTCTGTCTGAGGTCATTGACTTGATAGAGAGGAATTTTTTGTCATCTGTGGCAAAAAATAGACAGAGAGCTGATTCACAGGCTAAAAAAGACACAGAACATGGAAATGACACGAGTGCCTAAAGCACCCTTTCACTGAAACCAATAATTATGTTATTTGCTCATCATTTTGAATTCATTATTAATATTCCTTTCAGATTTTGAGGATAGAATACAATGACATAACCTCCCTTGATTCCTTAGGAAAATTAAGGTACATAAAATGAATGCACTTTATTTGAGTGTCAAGGTAT